AAACTGATATTTTCGACTCTTGATAAAACCGCAAGTCCAATTGCTTTGATACTACATATATAGGTACTACATGTGGACCTCTCTCAGATTTGTTCATTTCGTGATGATATCTTCAATTCTCTAATTTTGGTGAATATTTTGTCATTTTTGGTAAAAACTGATATTTTCGACTTCTTGTTAAAAACCGCAAGTGCAAATTGCTTTGATATTACATATATAGGTACTACATGTGGACCTCTCTCAGATTTGTTCATTTTGTAATGATATCTTTAATTCTCTAATTTTGGTGAATATTTTTGTCATTTTTGGTAAAAACTGATATTTTCGACTTCTTGTTAAAAACCGCAAGTGCAAATGCTTTGATATTACATATATAGGTACTACATGTGGACCTCTCTCAGATTTGTTCATTTTGTAATGATATCTTTAATTCTCTAATTTTGGTGAATATTTTTGTCATTTTTTGGTGAAAAGTGATATTTTCGACTTCTTGTTAAAAACCGCAAGTCCAATTGCTTTGATACTACATATATAGGTACTACATGTGGACCTCTCTCAGATTTGTTTATTTCGTGATGATATCTTCAATTCTCTAATTTTGGTGAATATTTTTGTCATTTTTGGTAAAAAGTGATATTTTTGACTTCTTGTTAAAAACCGCAAGTCCGATTGCTTTGATATTACATATATAGGTACTACATGTGGACCTCTCTCAGATTTGTTCATTTTGTGATGATATCTTCAATTCTCTAATTTTGGTGAATATTTTTGTCATTTTTGGTAAAAAGTGATATTTTCGACTTCTTGTTGAAAACTGTAAGTCCGATTGCTTTGATATTACATATATAGGTACTACATGTGGACCTCTCTCAGATTTGTTCGTTTTGTGATGTTATCTTCAATTCTCTAATTAATTTATTTTGGTGAATATTTTTGTAATTTTTGGTAAAAAGTGATATTTTCGACTTCTTGTTAAAAACTGTAAGTCCGATTGCTTTGATACTATTCATATTGTTCATTTTCTAATGATGTCTTCAGTTCTTTAATTGAAATGTGCATTGCTAACAGCGGAGCTATCTCAGCCGATAGGCTGCTTGTTTAATCATAGAGACACCTAGTCATTTACATAAGCCCATGTGCTACTACTCGACCAAAAATGAAACTACCTTTTGAATACAAGTTACTCCAGCAGCCCTTTATATAAGTCTATTACGAATGAATGTTATGAATATATTTTTGATTACAATACACAGCTAAAACATTTTATAACTATAAATTTATAAATTCAAAAGGGCTGTTGGAATTTCAATTGACCAATCCAGCAATGTTGTGACATCATAGTAAGTTAATTATTATTAATCAGTTAGTTCAACGTCATTCAATCAGCAAATGCTTTAATTTGAACAAGTTTACATTCAGATATGATTCAAAGCATGTATTCACTGTAGGCAATGTTGAGTTCTTGAGCCAATTACATATTTGAATAGAATGCTCAGGGTCGGTAATTATGAATATTTATAAATGTATTTATTTATTAAGTAAGCTACAGGTTTCTGCTGCGTACTGTGGTTCTTTGAACTTTTGCATTTTTGTAATTCTTTTTATATATATTTAATTTTTTATTATTTATTTATAGCATTTGTAATACAGTGTTAAATAAAAGTGTTTCTCTATCCTACTTACCTGTAAGAGTGTTTTGTGAAAAACACACATGACACAAATTGTAAAAAGGGATTTGCGACACGCATGCAAATGTAGATATTTTATAAAAAAAATAAAAGTAAACAATGACCTGTAAAACTTTTGTAACATCATTTTTACCATAATTGACTGGCTGCCATATTGTTTTATAGAATGCTGTTGTCGCATACGACTTATTTACCACTTCCGTGTCACTGAGAATGTTCTAGAACCGTACTGTGTCTGGGTGGAATATTCTAGATTTTTTTTAGAAACTGGTTGAATAGGTAATAAAACACTGGAGGAGGCAATAGAAGGTAATGGAACATTCTAGAAATTTGTAGTAAGTGCCAGACTCATTATGTATGCTGATGTAATGGTCTATTTATAGACAGTGGGGGGTATATATAGGGGAGTTGTTCAGCACTGAGATCAGATCGGAGATCTCGTTGAATTGTATTGGAGTTTAAGTATCTAGTTATTGGAGTAGTGGAGTTTTACCGCGTTATTGTACTTGATGTTTGCAGAGTATAATAATACCAGTACCAGTTGAAACCTCATCTGTTGGCTCCGTGTTCGTATTTTATCATCGCCGCCAGGGAAGTCTTTCTGTTACTGTTGCCATTTTGGTATTTGAACCATCACACCTGTACTATACCAATTACGGTAATATTACGTTGCGTGTGACAGCTGTACTATAGGTCTGGGTCTCATTTGAATTATTCATGCATTCAAACATAACTGCTATGATTCCTGTTTGAAATATTTATCGACTCATTAACGAATGAACTGGGTCCCAATTCAACTTTCATCCTTTCAGCATAAATGATCTGGTTTCCAATTAAAACATTCAGATAACTGGTATGGGACCTGTTTGAAACATGCTTTCCTTCTCACATTACTGTTCCAAGCCTTTTGAAACGTCTGTACACACCTAGTTAGTCTGTAGCCCGTTTGAAATATAAAAGATAATAATTCCGTAATGGGGGGTAAAATATTTTCTACAAAATTTCTAGACATGGAAACTAACAGGTTAAATAGTAATAGTAAAAGAATAAACTCAAAACAACCTTTTTTGTAAATGGGGGGAAAGTTGTCTGGAAAGTCACAACAATCCCATCTGCGAACTTCGCAGTGTCGCGCCATGAAGACGAGAAAGTAGCCTAAAACTAAACAAGCTGCAAAGTTCAGTGACTCACTTTGAAAGGAAGTCAAGTTGCCAACAAATTGGTAGAGTTGCTTTGGAAAGCAGAAAGTAGCTTGAAAAGTCACCTTGAAGAAAGAAGAGTTACCTAAAAAGTAGCAGTTCGATTTAGCAGGCGGGAAAGCTGCCTGAAAGGCCATGAGCGTCATCTGCAAAGTTTAGAGAGTCGCTTGGAAAAACTTTAAAGTTGTTTGACAAGCCATGAAACTTACATACAACAATTGAATTGTTACAAAAGCTGTCTACAATATTGGAAAGTTACTTCGAATGGCGAGAAATTTGAAATTTGCTGAATTTGAAACATCACTCTGATAAGCGAAAAAATGTATGAAAAGTATATGCAACGAAGGCAAATAAACTGAAAAAATGAAAGATGACTGAAAAATAACAAATAAAGTTTGCAAAGTCACTTTTGAATCTGCAAAGTTCTAAAAGTCATTTTGAAAGCTGAAACATTTGCCAAGTCAAGGAAACGAAGTGCGGGAAATAAGCCTGGAAAATTATCTGAAATGTAAATGTAAGATGGAAAAGTTGCCTGAAAGGCCATATAATACATTTAAGGAGTCACTTGGAAAGGCAGCAAAGTTGCCTGAAAGGCCATATAATACATTTAAGGAGTCACTGGGAAAGGCAGCAAAGTTGCCTGAAAGGCCATATAATACATTTAAGGAGTCGCTTGGAAAAGCAGCAAAGTTGCCTGAAAAGTCATGAAAGCTTCAGACCGTCAATATCCAGACCGTCATTTCGAAAAACGGCAAAAGGTTGAAAGATTGCTGAAATACAAGTATGAAATTTGCAGTGGTTTAAGAATTATGGGGAGGTTCCTGGAAAAAGATGAAATTCGTAGAGAGACAATGTACGGAAAGTTGCTTCAAGGCAGAAAAGTCTACAAAATTGAGGCTTCTCACTTTGGAAAGAAAAAAAAATGAAACTCTGTAAGCAGTTTGCAAAATTTGAAGTTTAACACGTAATGTTTAACATTGTATTATCACCTTAGAAATTGAAAAGGTTTCATGAACAGCAACAAACACAATCTGTAAAGCTCGAAAATTCTATTTTGAAAGCTAAAAGTATTTAAAAATTTCAGTTGCCTGAAAAACCATAAGGGCTTTTTTCAATGTTTGATTTGTATCTAAGACATTGCATGAATAAACCAAGTACGACAAGTTGCCTGAAATGTCACGAAAGCCATTTTCAAAGACTAAAAGGGCACTTTTAAAGGTGGAAAATTTGCCAGAATAGTGAAAAAGCTCTCTGTAAAGCTCGAAAATTAAATGGAAAATTGCCTCCAATGTCCCAAAAGCTCAAAAATTAAAATCGTTTTGAAAGTCGAGAACGAAAGTCAATCCGCAAAGCTCGGAGACTCGCTTTGTACGGCAGAAATATCGCCTGAAAAGGTCGTAGGGAATGTTCGTCGTGTCTTCTCGGAAGTTGAAAAGTTACCTGAGAAGGTAGAACGTAGTCAACACGTTTTGCATTTTAGATAACTTGTTTGAGCTGAAAGTACTTGATAAAAATGTCGTGCAGCTCAATCCTTTTTTCTATTAACATGGTAGCCCGAGTTTGTACTTGTCTTTGATCATTTGTTATTGGGCTCGCCATCGACTGAAAATGTGAAAATAACCGAAAAGGCCCTCTAGCGATTCAATAAAATGAAACGTCCCAAAATGTTGAAAGCTAATTGACAAGTCACTTTTAAGGGCGGGAAAGTTGTCTGAAAATTATCATTAGCCGTCTGCCGAACAAGGTTCGAAAAGTCGGTTTCGAAGGCATAAGACTTGTCTGAAACGTCTGCAAAGTTCAAAATATTCACTTTACAAGGCGGGAATGTTGCCTAAAAACATCAAAAGCTGCCTGTACAGTTCGGGCAGTCATTCCAAAAGCCAAATAAGATACCAACTGTATGGCTGGGTAAATACTATGCCAAATCAAAGTGACTTGTGTAAAATGTTTTAAATTATTTTAAAAACATGTACTGTTGTATTTATGTTTAGAAAAACTACATAAACAACTTTTTGCCAACGATTATGTTGTTAATAATCTTCCCCCAAGCTCTTCATGCACTGGGAGCAAGCGGTGAAAACTTCCCCGAGACACCTACCGGTATTTGTGACGTCACATACTAGCAGTGTAACGAAGACGCGGCAAACTCAATGCGACCTGGGCACCATTCGTAATACGTAATTAAAAAATAATTGAAACAAAAAGGGCGGGACAAATCAAATACTTTGAATTAATCTGCGACCAAGATAATTATTTTCAGAAATCTGTTTTGTGCAAACGATGGGTACAAATGATAGTTTTAAGAGCGCAGTGATTAGTATTTGGTCAAATGTCGTGCGCTCTCGTGCTCGAGTTTTATCAGCTATCTTTTAGAAAGCCCGGGTACCAGGTTCACTCAAGCTCAAGATCGAACGACCTAATTTTTTAAAGAAAATTGACAAATTAGTCAAATTCAGTATCTATGTTCTGCAACTTGAAAATGTGTTGGTAATTTAGTAACGTTACGTGGACAGCCTATAATCCCTATTAAAAACTCTGTAAAGTTACGTGGGAAAAAATGTAATGCTAAATGGAAAGTCGCTACAGTTGCGTGAAATGTTCACATGGTAATGTACTGAAGTCTGCGCCGACTACGTAGTTACATAGCAATTAACCAGGCCTCTCTAGTAGCGAACTTTGTTCACACATGGAGCTAAAAAAAGAAGGAGACTGGACTGGTTTTAATCCTACTTGAGTCTTTTGTTTTAAGCTGATTATTCTTTTGTGTTTACGCGCCTTTCATGTCGATGACTTCTGCTGGCTGCCGTCACACTGATTATTCAGCCGTCACTGCCTTCCTGAGGTGTGACGATCATTTTTGTTCTGCGCAGTTGACGTCAAAGGTCGGTGAACATGCGCGTAGCGGTAATTACGGAAGAGTGTCGTCAGTTCTACAGGTCTGCGTTTGAGTCATGGAAATCGGACGGGTTTTCAGCAAGTTATTACAATGTATGTGGTTCTCGTAATGTCGAAAACATTGCTCACAAGAAATTGATTTTAAAATAAAATACTTGGCCGCAGACGATAAAATTACTACCGATATATAGTGTTTTCCATGTACTTTCCAACAAGCTTGAATTGAAGTTCGAGCTCCCATGGCCAAATTCACAATCACGTTTTTCATTTCTGTTCATCTGTCCTACTTCCTGTGTGGGCCCTCATAGACAACACGTGCCTTGGATTAGCTGCAGTTCTGTAGCTCGCTTGGTTTCACTGTCGGTTATTTTGTTCGTCGTGGTGTTAACGCGAAACCAGGGAGCTACAGTTCCATCCAGAACTGCAGCTAGCCTTGGATAAACGAC